CACACACACACACACACACACACAAATTATGGAAGGGAGAGCCAAGGCCAGCTTTGGTAACATTTTCTGCAGGGTTTCTAGGAGCCTTCAAGAGAGATTCAATCCTCTGCTGTTTTTAGCAAGTGGCACCTGGTGCCCAGAGAGGAGAAAATAAAGCCATTCCATCAAAATGCCAGAACATGGGCCCTGGAGCTGCTTTATCAGAGATCCCAGTGACAGGATTCATAAGTAATAACCGAGAAAACTGTTTCAACTGGAACAAATTCTTAACAATATAAAGCAGCTTGTGGCCGCTGCTAAACTTGCCTCTTCAAAGTGACCTACAGTGAGCCTCTTCAAATCTGTTAAATAGAAATTTCAGGCCATTGTTTTAGGCCAGACTGGAAATAAAAATGGAGTCGCTAATGCTAAAGTTTTGAGGCACCAGGCTGAAATTGAGATTATAGATATAACAGTCAAATTTCCCATGCAGGGCAATTTTAGTTGATATGAGAATGAAGTCCCTTGTTTCTTAATCTTTATGCCCCCAAAAAAGGTGGCTTGAAATAATCCAATATAAACTACCATTACTTCCCTATTTTCCATGTCTCTCTGTCCTCTCATTACATGGAAAATGACTTTGAAATAACTAAGCTGCATTTCGTTCTGTTTTACTTTCTTTAAACCATGTTCTGTCCCATCTGAACACTCATTTCATTTTACATGTTACATGGTTTCCTGGTTCCAGAATAAAAGTGTTTGCAATTTTCACCTTTAACTTGTGAGAGTTAGTAGTGCTTGTCAACTTCATAGTCTGTGGCTTGCTTGGGAAAGGTTATCTTCATTGGGTAAATGGGTGTGGAAGACCCACCCTAAAAGTAGGCAATACCATTCCCTTGGATGCGATCTTGGTCTCTACAAGAAGGAGAATGGGAGAGGAGCACACACATTTGTCATTCTCTTCTTCATGGCTAGGGGTGTAATGTGACCAGCTGCTTCAAGTTGTTGCCCTGATTTCCCCTTCAGGATGGGCCTCACTGTGAACTGTCTGTCGAAGTAAAACCCTTATTTCCTTGAGTTGCTTTCATTAGGGTGTGTTGTCACAGCAACAGAAAAGTAAGTAAGATGCTTGTATCTTTATCCTTTGACAAATCCTAGGACTTTCTGATGAGTCTGTGATTTGCTGATAGAACACACACACACACACACACACACACACACACACACACACACACACTCATAAAACATTAACAGACAGTTTTTTAAATGTCTGTCGGTTAGGAAAACACACACTAGTTTAAAGCAAAACTATAGAAAGAGCTAAGTCTCCTTTATCTTAGCATCACTGTTTCCCAGAACAATATCTGGCACATGGTAAGTGCCCAGTAAGTTTTGTTTAGTGATTGATAAGCATTATCTGGTATATAATGATGGTTGTGTCCAACACCTGTGCTCCAATCTTCAAAACACCCAGATATGCTCACAAAATCCACTTAATTGGATAATACTGATCTGCATGCCTCAGGGAATTTCTTCAGTTTTTACCTTTTCAAACACTTACCTTTAATACATTTTGGAGCCTTCTGACTTTAAGAAGTAATCCTGTTAGCACAGGTAAGTTTCTAAACCAAGCATTAAAATCCTTTTATCTGGTGTGGAAGAACGATAGTAGCCAATACCATTTATATGATGGTTATTCTTGGTTGTCAACTTGACTACATCTGGAATTAACTGGAACCCAAGTGGCTAGGGGCACCTGTGAGGAATGTTTCTTAATTAAATCATTTGAAGTGGGAAGATTCCCTGTAATCTGGACCACACCTTCAGCTGGCAGCATTTAAAGGACACTGAAGAAGGAGGCTAGCTCTCTTGCCTGCTTGCCCTTGCTCTCACTGGCAAGTCCATTCCTTTATAGGTATCAGAGACTACTTCCTTCAGGATTCTGGCATATACTGAAAACCAACTGAGACATCCAACCTTGAGGCCCAAACAACTACTAGATTCTTGGACTTTCTGTTGGTATACAGTGATGGTTGGACTAGCTGGACCACAGCCTGGAAGCCACTCTGATAAATGCCATATATATTCATTCTATTAGTTCTGTTCCTCTAGAAAAGCCTAACACAATTTAGGCCCATCTTCTCACAGTAATAGTGTCTAATCAGGAACTCTTTTTTTTTTTTTTTTGGTTTTTTCGAGACAGGGTTTCCCTGTGTAGCTTTGCGCCTTTCCTGGAGCTCACTTGGTAGCCCAGGCTGGCCTCGAACTCACAGAGATCCGCCTGGCTCTGCCTCCCGAGTGCTGGGATTAAAGGCGTGCGCCACCACGCCCAGCCTAATCAGGAACTCTTATTTGGAATTCCAATCTCAGACAGCACCAAGAGGAATTTTCCTGGTAGAACTCATTTTTGGATACAAGAACTTCTTAACCCTTTTTCCACTGGGTCCCCACTTACCCTTCTCGGCACCCAAATGCCACCCACTTCTCTGGTTTCCTGAATTTCAGTGACTGGTACCACCTGCCCAGTTATTCTAGCCCGATGTTTTGGAATCATCACCCTGAACACTTATATTCATTCTCATGTATGTTGAATAGCCATTGAATAGGCTATCAGGTACCAATGATAACCTTGGCCACTTAGGTTCAGCTAATTTTCTTTCTGATTACTACTGCCAAACATCCCTGAGTTCCAGGAAAGAGAAAACTACAAATGCAGTGAATTTTCTCCCTCTATGCCTATCACACTTTCCAAGACATTGTAAGCTGCTGTGCCCACGTGAACACAGCACTGAAGTAACCCATGAAGCTCTGGAAGCTGTCCTAGAAGGGACTGTCGTTTTCAGCACCTTGGAGAGAGCAAGCCGCACCCCCCCAGGTTTAGAGGCGCAAAGATTGGGAAAGCAAGTCAGTACTAGAGTTGCAAACACTGTGGAATGCTGGAAAGAAGGCAGGTGAGACATTCCACTCAAACGGGTTTGCTCTCTGGCCCAGGAACACGTCACATCCATTCCTGTCTCAAGGCTTTGGCCCCAGGCTTTTCCTCTGATTACAGCCCTCTGCCCAGATCTTTTTGAATTGCTGTCCACTTCTCACCATGCAGGTCTCCACCCCATGACTTTGCAGAAAAGCCTTCCCTCAATGGTTATTTCTATATTTTACTCTGTTCGTCATGTTATCAGCATTTGAAACCAAGTAGTTTATTCATTTCTTTACTAAGCTATTGCCTCTCTAGCCCCAAACAGAAAGTGGGTCCTGTGGAAGAAAAGACCAGCTCTGTGTTATTCACTGTTGGGTATTTAGTGTTTCAAGCCTGTCTGACACCTAGAATGCACTCTGTAAATATTTGACAATTAAAGAAATGAAGTAAGACAAGCAATAGGACCATGAAATTAGACTCGAAGTGTAGGAGACAACTGACAACCTTGAACTTCACAGTTTGAGCAGACATCAGACTCTTCTTATTAGGTTTCTAAAATATGACTATGATTCAAGATAAAATGTTTCTGTTCATTAGCATGACCCAGGCAAGAACAAGTATGTAGCACACTCACCAGACGGCAAAGCCAATACTAAATTTCAATTTCTAGAATAATTCATTTCTAGAACAGATAATTTTGTTGGTGGTGAAAAATCCTTTGTTTTATTATTACCTGTTTGGTTTTGATACAGTGTCTATGCAGCCCAGGCTGGATTCAAAGTCTAGATCCTCCTTCCTAACCTTCCTAAGCCTCCTGGAGGCTGAAATTGCATGCATGTGACAGAATGTAGGATAATCAATACATTGACAGAATGTAGGATAATCAATACATTTTTTGAGATTATTTTTAAAATATTGTGTGTTTGGGTGTTTTGCCTGAATATATGTCTGTGTGCCACATATGTGCAGTGCCTGCATAGGCTAGAACAGGGCATCAGATCCCCTGGAACTGGAGATACAAACAGTTGTTAGCTGCCATGTAGGTGCTGAGAATCGAACCTGGGTCCTCCAAATGCAGATAGTGCTCTTGACCATTAATCCATATCTCCAGCCCCAATTCATACATTATTTTAAATAACACAAACCAACTCTTTTCAAAGGCAGCTTTGGACCATAAGGAAGAACTTTGATCTTTCTCAGACATTAAGGTAGAGACTGATGAGGTGAATAATTGAGTGTTGTTTGTTGAATGACATGGCCCTGATGTCATTCACTTGCAGAATTACTAGGAGATGAGAGCATCTCTGAACTTGGGGAAGGGATGGATATATACCAAGTAGTGATGGGGAAGGGAAAATGCCAAATAATGATGGGAAAGGGATATTTGCCAAGTAGTGGATAAACTACTTACCCAAGGGTGAATCTAGTAAATATCTTTATGTGGGCCATGCAGTAGTTTTAAGTCTTCTAAGTCATTACCAACATTTTGAGAAGTTAAATAGAGATATAGACCATTTCTTAAAAATTCAGAAGTTCTGGAAATAATGGCCTTGGAATTCCTACATAGCAACAGTCACCTAACATGAGTTAGCAACTACTTCTTTAAAGGAGATGTGTGGTCTCCAGGCAGTCATAGACCTGGCATTTCATCTGTGTAACACTCAGCCTCATTTATTTTCCTGTACTAACTGCATGGCTCCCAAATGCATTTGAGTCTGAGAACTTCTACTGTGGAGTATGTTCTGATGAGTCTAAGAATTGGGGCTATGAGGCCAATGGGGAGGATAAGTTCCTATTTAAAAATGACACCACCATTTCCCCTCCAAAACAATCTATGATATGTTGCCACAAGCATGAAACTTGTAACTGAATGGATAATAAAGACATTTGTAAGGACACGACACAGTGTGAAGGTGCATACTTGTATACATATACAGCTGGTGTTAAACAAATGTTTATTGCATAAATTAATAAGAAGCATGAGGGCATTGACCACAATTCTAAAGCCTAAATATATGACTTCTTGCTATGCACAGTACAGTTTCTGAATCCACTAGATTTTTCCCTTTTTTCTCATATTTTCCTCCACCTTTTAATCTCAAGATTAAGAACAGAGCTTAATCAATTAATTAATCAATCTGTTCATCTCCAGTTGACCAGTCGTATTAGTATGCTGCAGTTCTGGAGTGCACCCATCGAAGTCATGAAGTCAAGACTTCTTACTTTGGAGATGTGGGTCTGGTCCTGGTTGTCACTCTTTGAACAAGTCTCTTGGTTTTCTAGTCCAAAGTTTGTCCTTCTGTGGAACCGTGTGGTCTCCAGGGTGACTTCCTGCTTTACAGCCCCTGTCTCTGAGCAAACAAGGCGAAAGGTAAGTGACTGGCGCTTCAGGGCGAGCAGAGCCTAGCAGGGAAGGACAAGAAGAGACACCCTTCCCCTATAATTAAGGCGAAGAGACTTCTAAACGTCCCGGCAGCAATCCATGGAGGACCAACAATAGAGCAGGAACTCATTAGCAGAATGTTGAGTAAGACTCAGAGAGAAGAGAAGGCTGATGAGGAGGGAGTCCAATTGGTGACAGGGGATTTTTATAAAGAAAGAGTAGGAAAAGTACTGCTAATTAGGTCATTTAGAAACTGAACAACTGAATGTAATTCCTCCTGAAGCATTAAGAAAACAGCCAGGGGAGGCATAAGAGTACAAGAATATATGCTAATATGCAAAAAACAGGATCCCTGAGTAACTCAGACAATAATGCCCAGGCAAGCTAATAGATGTCAGATGGAAAGCAGCACCTGATTTTCAATCCAATCTCACTTGAGGAGACAGATTTGAAAAAATACATAGAAGCAGCACATAGTAAGCACTCAGAAAATATTTGTTAAATTGAATTGTATTTGCAAAGGCTCAGGTGTGCTTCACTACTCTAAACCCCTAACTTGAAAGAAATGAAACATACAACAAATCTCAGAGTGATTATTCCTTTCACAAAAAGAGTCATCAAAAAGGCATTCTGTGCAGAAACCTTTGTCTTTAAAATATAAAATTAAAACAATTCTATTTGCCCAGATTTCTCTCTAGCGTATATCAACAGGATGAAGTTGAGGATCTATATTGAATTTTGCATCCACCTGGGCCTAACAGCACCAGGTACAGTAACTTTGAATGAATGTATGCACAGATCTTGATCATTCATTGGTATAGAACAAAGCATCTCAGATTAATAGTCTCAAACAACAGCTACTTTCTTCTGTCATAATTCTATGTGTTGACTGTGTCCTATAAGAAGTTCTTTGACCTCAACAGATAAACTGAGCTGATAGTCTTAGTTCAGAAATTATCTGAATGTAGATTTACAGTCTACGCGTACAGCTGGCTAAGTGAGATCGCTTTCACAGTTCTGCATGTATCCCATCCGCTCCCCATTAGTTACTGAACTCTTAAAACTGGTATTGTAACATTACCACAATGTTTTGCGCCAATTTTATAAACTTTACAGTGCAATATGTGTTCCTTTTCTGAGGCAA